TTCTTTTCTGCTGAACTGGTGAGAAGGGATGCTCTTTTCTGCTACACGAACTAATGGGGAGAGTGGCTAGCGGGAAAAGAACAGAAAACTGCTAATTGGACGAGAATGAATTAGGACGACTGACGTACTTCTCGACTGGGCATGCACAAGAAGTTCTTGCCTTTTTTCATGCGTAGTGTTTCTTCACTGTTTATCAGTGCACTGTTTATGCAACAAAAATGAGTGAAAATGTTTATTTCGGTGGCGCAGACTTGTTAAGCAAGTTAAATCTATTGAAAATAGGAAAGTCAAAAGATATGGGCACCAATATTCATGAGGAATACGTTCTCCCACTGAACACGAGACGGAAGCGCGCGGCTATGGAAACGGTAGATACGTCGCACTCGTTGTGCATTGTTCATAAGCTCGTTGCAAATCCAGTCGTCGCATTCACGCATGAACATCATCACTGGTATACGCTCCGACATCTTGACAGTTAGCTCACCAATCAGGTCACTGCAACAGTCCGTGCGATCTGGTGTAATATGCACAAATCAGACTCTAAAGAAAATGCTGCTGGGCCATCGATGCAACCTCGAAGGTGTAGTATGTTTGATGAGGAAGGGAACAAGAGTTAGGAGGTGGCTTCCTTTTTCCGGAACGCATGGTTAAATCCTCCGTTTTCAAACTGCTGCTCTTCCAACAACTTTTTGCTACCTTCCCTGTCATTATCACGGACATGTTTTCACAGACCCGTCGTAGCTACGCCAGGCTGTTCTGTCAGTGACTGTCTCAGAGAACGAAATAGAAAGAAGTTGATACCATATCATGAGATATCAGCCGTTTATGTAATCCCTGTGCTATGATGCTAACTGAATTCAGCGTTGCTGCTTATAAAGTGACCGCGCGAATCACTCATGAGCAACAGCTCGAACAATGATTTTTCAGTTTCTTTACGTTGTTCCTTTCGTGCTAATTTATTCCTAGACGAAGATACAAGCTACCATTCCCTCAGGGTTGCCCAAATAAAAGTGCGACGTGGGATTTTCCTAGTCTGCTAAACACCGGAAGAAAT